CTGTATGTATTCAGAACCTCATTAAACTGTAAGCTTATTCAAGGCCAGAGAACCGCCCCTCACCCTGCCTTCACCATCATGTCTATAAACTACACCACAGACCTTTATGTTTTATTAAGGTGGGATATACGTAAGAGGAAATTTACTATTTTAGCCGTTTTTAAGGATACACTTCGGTAGCAGTCAGTACATTCACAGTGTTGTGCGACCTTACCACTGTCCATCTCCTGAGCTTGTTTCCTCTTCCTCAGCTGAACCTTTGTCCCTGTTGAACACGGACTCCCCACCCCTCTTCCCACACCCTGGCTCCCACCCTCGTTGGGAGCCGTCTACTCGTTGTCTCTATGAATTGGATGACTCTAGAGACCTCCCGGAAGTGGGCTCATATGACATTCATTCTTCTGCGTCTGACCCATTTCACTTAGTGCAACGTCTTCAAGGTTCATCCATGTTATAGCAGGTGTCAGGACTTCATTCCCTTTTAAGGCTGAATCATATTCTATTGTGTGTATGGACCACATTCTGTTTATCTACTCATCCATCAATGGACATCTGGGTTCTTTCCATCTTTTGGCTACTGTGAGTAATGCAGCTACAAACTTGGGTCTGCAAATACCTGTTCCAGGGTCTGCTTTCCCTCATTTTGGACATACACTCAGTGGAACAGCTGAACCGTATGGTACTATGTTTACTCTTTCAGGGAACCACACCCAGCAGATACACCATTTTCTCGTGCTTCCCACGAGCAATGCGCTAGGGTTCCACTGTCTCCATATCCTCGCCAACACCCGTCATTTGCTGGGGGTTTTTTTATAATAGCTATCCAAATGAGTATGAGGTGGTATCTCATTGGAATTCTACCATGGTGCTTTGTGTAGAGCTTTGCCCCTAGTGTAGTCTCATTGCTTGAAACCAAGAGGCTAACGAGGGCAGGGCCCCGCCTCTGGGCAGTACTGGACGCCATATTTATTTAAAGTCAGCATGGAATGTCACCTCTCTCCGTTTACCAAATCTACGCATGGGTCCAGAGAAAGTTCCACCCCTTCAGCTTCCAGTAAATTTAGCTTTGGAGCACGTGGTAAGCTTCAAGATCTTTGAGGAAGAAAGCTTTCTTTGCTCCCCAAACAGAGCCCCAGGCAGGTACCATGAGAGTCAAGAGATCCCAGCTGCCATTGGACATCTGGCACCAATGCCCTGGGTGACAGAGTACGAGCCCTCACCTGAGACTCAGTTTCCCCATCTTGTGCACTGAGCAGATTGGATCCGAGCAGTGGTTCCCAACCTTGACTACATACTACAGTCACCTGGGGAGCTTTTAAAAATCTCCATTCCCAGGCCTCACCTTGGGCCACTTGTAGGTAAACCTCTAGGGGTGGGACGCAGACCTCACTATTCCCAAAGCCCCTTCGATGGTTCCAGGGTGCGGCCAAGGGCGAGACCTGGGATTAGACCGTGGTTCCCATACCTGCCTGAGCGTGTGAGTCGCCTGAGCTGCTGATCTACAAACACACCCGTCCCAGCCCCTCTCCTGGAGGTTTTGCTTCGGCAGCTCTTGAGGGGGCCGCCCGGAGTCTGTGTTTCAGACACGTTCCCCCCAGTGATTCTCAACATCAGACAAATCCCAGAACCGCGGGATTGGAAACTGCTTCTTCGACCTTGCTGTGCGACCTTCCCCCTCCCTCCCGAGGCCTCCACCAGCCCCAAGCTCTGCACAGCCCCCCAATCCCCAAAGTAGGTAGTGCCCCCACCCCTCCCCCCCCCCAGTGAGTGAGTGCTGGCACCCCCATACTACAGCAGGAGCGCTTCTGCCCTGCGCCCCGCTTTGGGTATTCTTGGCCACCTCTGCCGTCTCCGATCCCCGTCCCCGGGCCGTGTGATTATAAACGAGCCACAGAATGCACAACGCAGGCCGGGCGGGGCGCACGCTGGCTTGGGCTCCCCACTCCAGCCCGCCACCCCGCTCTGGCGCCGTGGCTCCAGGAGCCTGGCTAATCAGAAGCTTCCAGCATGGAAGCACGGCTCCTTCTCCAGCGAGGCTTCTCCCAGCGACGCGTTTCAAGTACCAATTTGGTGTCCTTGTGCCTCTGATCTCGCCAGCCTTTCAGAAGTCATTCCCTTGAATGACGACAAGCAGTCTTGATACGCTGGGTTAAAAATCTTTCAATTGGGGCTTGTTTGTTTATGAAGCAACATCAATTATCAGGGATTTCCAAACTGGCTCCCTCTGTACTGGCGTCGGCATCCAGAGCGGCACCGTCAGCCGCCAGCCACGGTGACAGCCGTGTTTCGGTGTTGCTGTGGGGCCTCGCAAGTCTCGGGGGTGGGAGGGGGGCCCTGCGTGTTTGGAGCGTAAGGGATAAAAGCTCGTTGAAACACCTGTGCTCCCGTGTGCAGACGCCCCCCGATCTCGCATGTTTTATTTGGTGGCTGTTATTTTGCAGCACGCTGTGGGTGGAAATCATTATCAAGATCCCGCGCGGGGAAGAGGTGGGTTTGAGAGGCTCCCGGCCCCCCCAGGCTGCAGGGGAAACCACCGCGCTCGCCCTGCGGAGGGCGGGCAGCCGCTCTCATCAGGCGCCCGGGAGGGCCTTCTTGGCCAACTGGGCAGGAGCAAACGTAAGCAAACAGCCTGGGCAGAATGAGGGAGAGAGAAGAAAGGCAGTGGGAGAACCTGCCTTGAAGGAGAGAGCCTTTTGCTCAGGGACTCACTTTTTTTTTTTTTTTTTTTTAAGTTTACACGTTTGGCAGAAGCCAGGGGCGTCGGGGAGACTGGGAGTATTAGGTGTCCGGAATCCCAGCTCAAACCAGCTTAAGCAAAAGAAGAGATTTATGTATTCGTGTCAGGGAAATATTGAGGGGTGTGTCGGCTTCAGGCACAGCTTGATTCAGGGCCCCAAACGGTGTCTCTGGCCACCTGTCCCCCATCTCTCTCTGTCAAGTAGGCTTTCTGTGGGCCAGGCCCCAGGCAACCCCGGGTCCCCTGTCACCATCTCAGCAGCCCCAGCAAAAAGGAAGCTCCTTTTTGGCAAGCCATGGTGCAGCCCCTCATTGGCCTGGCTTGGATCGGCTTGCTTGCTGATTGGGCCCAATTGCTCTGGGCACAAGGAGCCCGCGCCCCGATTGGCCACGCCCGGGCCTTCCTGGTGCGTGCGCAGCCCTGCAGCCCCGGGATGAGTTAACTTCAGACAAGTCACAAGGATGAGAAAGGATCAGGGTGGCTCCCCCGGAGAGAGTTGGGACAATCAGCAGGCATCTGTAAGCTCAAGGAAGCAGCGAGCGTATCCACCGTGCACAGCAGGAGGAACAGCCCAGCTGTGCCCCTGTCCTCAGTCGGCCACGGCCACGTCCTTCATCTCAGTAAAACGGGAGGCGTGGACACAGATCAAAGCGACTCATAAGCAGTAAAAATAATTTTTTTTAATGTTTATTTATTTTTGAGAGAGAAAGAGCACGAGCAGGGAAGGGGCAGAGAGAGGGGGAGAGAGAGAGAGAGAGACAGACCGTGGGGTGGGGGGGAGGGGCAGAGAGAGAAGGAGACACAGAAGGCCAAGCAGGCTCCAGGCTCTGAGCTGTCAGTGCAGAGCCCGATGTGGGGATCGAACTCACAAACTCACAAACCTGATGGTGACCCCACTGAATCCCGTGTCGCAGCCCACACAGCGGGCAGGTCAACTTGGGAGCTTACTGTGATGCTTGGCACGCAGCAGACAGCCAATAAATGCATGTATGAATTAGAGGATGAGTGAGTCAGCAGGGAGCGAGCAATGGAATGTTCCAGAAGTTCATTTTTTCTCAGCGTTTATTTACTTTTGAAAGAGAGAGACAGAGCGCAAGTGGGGGAAGGGGCAGAGAGAGAGGGAGACACAGAATCCGAAGCAGGCTCCAGGCTCCGAGCTGTCGGCACGGAGCCCCACGCGGGGCTCGAACCCACGAACCGTGAGATCATGACCTGAGCCGAAGCTGGGCGGCTAACCGACTGAGCCCGCCAGGCGCCCCAGAAGTTCATTTTTTAAAAACAAACTGGGATGGTTTCACACCAGAAGACGGGCCCGGATTAGACCTGAGGGCAGGTGCCGTGAACACTTGGCCCTTTGCCAACCCCCCCTACCTCCCCCCCAGAGCACCAGCCCTTCGCCCTGTCCCATCTGCCAACCCTGGCGCCATGGCCATTGGGGCTGGATGAGTCCTCGTGGTGGGGGCTGTCCCCCTTGTCCCAGGATGTTGAGCCGCGTCCCTGGGCCCCACCCATTAGCTGCTAGTAGCATTTCCTCCCCCGTTGTGACAACCACAAATGTCCCCTGTGTTGCCAAATGTCTTCTCAGGTCGAAATCACCCGGGGTTGAGGACCTCTGTCCTCGGGTTTTATGTAAACAACGGGTCCCATTGCCAAAAGGGGGGGGATTGGGCCATCTGCACTAGGGATTTCGGGGAGACCTGCGTTATCAGAAGTGGGCGCCCTGTCTTTCCTGCTGGGCTCTGATCTGGGCTGTTGACTTTCGAAGGCCCTGCTCCCTGGGGTCCGGGGCTCCTTTGTGAAAGAGGGAGGGCACTGGCGGCCAGGGAGCCCGAACTCTCGAGAAGGCTATCCCGCGATCGTAGAGATCACGCTATGGCACCACCTGCCACGTGTGAGCCCCGAGCGTGCGCAAACCCTGCGCTGAGCTGGGCATACGGTTTGTGTCACCAGATCGTCAGCACCAGGGAGCGATCATTAGCCCCATTTTGCAGCTGAGCAAACGGAGGCTGAGAGGGTGTGGGAGTGGCCCGAGCGTCACACAAAGAAGTCCATGGTGGAGGCGGACTGTAACCAGCTTCCATGGCAGGGAGGCCTCGCCCGTGTCTCTCCCTGGTGACGCTGGAGACCTTGGTCCCCAGAGCCCCTGAGAGGCGGCTCCTGGGGCTCCACTCACACACGGGGAAGGTGCCGGCCCCGCTCTCAGGTGCCGTGAGGCCAGCCGGGGTCCTCCCCAGCTGACCGTGCTGTTGTTCTCTCCCCGCAGGGTGTTTTTCCTGAACGTGCCATTAGATTCTATCATCGAGCGGCTGACCCTGAGAAGAATGGATCCCGTCACGGGAGAAAGGTTTGTGCCAGGCTCCCGGTGGTTGGGGGCTCAGCCGAGGCCACTGCAGGATGGGTCTGGGGCTGACGCTGACAGGAGACTCTAGAAAGAGGGTTCATCCAGCCAGTTCCTCTGGGCAGTGCCTGTGGACCCTGTGCCAGGATATGCGTGTCCGACGCGAAATACCCTCCCGGTCCCAAGTAACAGTTCTGACCCTGGCATGGGAAGTGGCTGGATTGGGCAGGTGTCCCCGGGACGCTTCCGAAGGCCTCTTCTCGCCAAGACGCACTGCAGATGTGACTGCGAACCAGCTCACCTGGGGGCCGACCCACGGTCACCGGAGGTGAATTGTGAGCCTTATTCTGCGGTCCGGCCAAGTGCAATGACTGTGTTCGCGTTGAGACGCAGTTGAAAGTCCCCACCATCACTAAGAGCTAGAAGCATCCATCCTCCCTGGTACGCAGGCCACATTTCTTAGTCCCCCGGCCACGTTTCTGGGTCGGGACTCCGGAGTGGGGTGGGGAGGGGCAGGAAAGAAATACCAGGAATTTTCTACACCATAGGCTGATGTCTCATCCTTGATGCCGAGGGACGGTCTCGCCGACCCAAGTCAAGCACAGTGGCCTTCGTGTTGCCCTGCCCCGGGGTCCCGCCCAGCAGTGACTGTCGGTGGCCCTTGCTGTCCCCTGCACTCACATTTGTTGTCACAGTGCCCCTCTCCCCCACTCGGCCACGAGCGCTATGCGCACGGAGCCAACGATCGTCCCGCTTGCCCCTCTGTGCCAGGAGCAGACGTGATGCCGGAGGGGCAGCAGACGCTTGGTAAATACTGTTTGGAGGGAAGAAGGAAAAGGAGGAAAGAAGGGAAGGAAGAGAAGGAAGGAAAGAAAGGACTTTGGGGGGTAATATATTCTGCTCTGTCCGCCGGTCACTGACCTGCACCCTCACCCCCGGGGCAAGGACCACTCTTCGGGGCCCCACCACGGGCGTGCCCACAGCTGGTGTGCCGTAAATGTTTGGTGGCGGTGATGGGGACCGACTGGGTCAACGGTGGGACGGAAGGCCCGTTCCCCCCGACCCCTGACCTCTGGGCGGGGCCACAGGTCACCCACTTCCCTCCTCTGTCGTAGGTACCACCTCGTGTACAAGCCGCCCCCGACCGTAGAAATCCAGGCCCGCCTCCTGCAGCACCCGAAAGACACTAAAGAGCAGGTCACGCTCAAAATGGATCTGTTCTACAGGCATTCCTCGGACCTGGAGGAGTTCTACAGACAGGCCATCGCCATCAACGGGGACCAGGACCCGTACACGGTCTTTGAATACATAGAGAGTGGGATCATTAACCCCCTGCCCAGGAAAGTCCCCTGATGGCCTCCCAGGGAAACAAAGTCAGCCCCCACCCCAACCTCCCGAAACCTCAGCCAAGCCAATAAAGCGTGCTGGGTGCAGTCTCGGGTGTCCTGGAGGTGAGGACGCGGGAAGGCCGCCGTGTTTCGGGGCCTGGGAACACAGGGCGGACAAAGCCCAGGGAGGCAGTGGAGCACAGCAGGGCTCCGGGCTGTGCGCCCTTGGACGAGGCACCGAACCCTCGGAGCCTCACTTACAGCCAAAGCCACGGCGGTGACCGTCCCTGCGGGCGGGGTGCCCGGAAAGCCCTCAGCCAAGTCCCTGGCACACAACAAGCTCTCAATAAATGGAGTTTTAAAGAGCCACCACCTCGGGGGGCCCCTGGGTGGCTCGGTCGGCTAAGTGTGTGACTTAGCCGACGGCGCCCCGCCCGCCCCCCGGCGCCCCGCAAGGAGATGGTTTTTAAATTTCACCCGCCCTTTGCTAACTTAAACGGAAACAGCCACGGGTGGCTTCGTGGCTGCTGTGCTGGACTTTGCAGTTCCAGACACACGGGACTGTTTCTGAGGAGGGGCTGGAGCCGCTTAGAAGGCCTGCTTTCAGGTAGCGCCTCTGGGGCCGGCACGGCTTACAGCACACGGGTGTAGACAGCAGGCGGACGGCACCGTGCGCTCCTCTTCCATGGGCTCCCCCTCCTCCCGTTATTCCCTTTCCTCGTCATGTAGGCGATGTGCCCATCAACAGAAAAGCACGCTGAAGCCACAGAGGGGAAGGGACTTGCTTAAGGCCCCCTGGACCCACGGCCACACCCGAACCTGGTGTTCTGGAGCTCTCTGCCTGTGGGGCCTCAGCGGGCCGGGCCAGCCGGGCTCTGGGGATGCTCGCTCGGGTGCTCTGGGCCTCACCGGTGAGGTCCCTTCTAGCCTGGGGTGGCCCGAGTCCCTCCGGCAATGATCCGATCCTAGTACTGGCCGTGGTAGCCAGTAACCAGGACGGCCAGTAGCTGGTACGCACGGGGCCAAGCCCCCCCCCCCCCCCGCCCCTGCCTGCTCCCCTGCTTCTGCGGGCAGGGCGTGCCCCAGACCTGCCCCTGTCGGGCCTCCCGGGCCTGGGCCCTGTCCCAGAGGTGGCCTGTCTTCTCGCCTCCACACCTTCCCTTCGGCTGGGCGGCTCAGCCCTTGACCCTCTGTCCTTGCCCTGTTCAGGCACCGGGTACCGCCTCCTGAAACTCCAGTCGGGGGCCTTCCCTTCCCTTCCCAGTCCCCACAGGAAAGAGGGTGTCTACCCTGAGAGTCCCCCCCCCCCCACAGGCAGCGGGCCCCTGCTCGTTGTTCCAGTTCCAGACCACGGGTCCGGGTTGCGAACGCTAACCCTTACGCCTAGTCTACCCCTCTGCCTGCCAGATCCCAGAGAATGTGGTCTCACTTTACCTGAACTCCCCACAAAACACCATTTGGACATAAACCCTTAGCCAAAGACTTCATAAAACATTCGCTTCTTTAGTTTATGTAGTAATGCGCATTTTGCGGATGACCTCCTCTCTGGGCCCGGCCAGGCCGTTTCCTCTCCGCTTCCTCCACCCGCCATCTGCCCCATCAGAGCAGTTCTGTGCGCTCTGAGCCTGCTCTGGGAGGCAGGTGATGTCCGCCACGGGTATGGGCCGTGTACCGAGCAGCCTGGGTCCCCGTGCTGCTGTGTGATCCCGGGCAAGTTCTTTCACCTCTCTGAGTCCTTGTGAAATGACAGCAAAATAGTCATTGCCTCCTAGGCAATGCTGAGCGAGAATCGCGGGACCAGCTAATGCATATTAAGGCCAAAAATAGGGCAGGACACACAGTGCGTGCTGTCACTCTGTCTCACCTAATTCACAGCTCCCCCCAGAAGTCAGAACTATTTTTATCCGTAGGCGAGGATACTGGGGCTCAGACGACTTAAAAGACTTGCCCAAGGCTGCATGTGGCAAGGAGGGCTCAGCCCTCCAAGTGCACTCAGCGGGGGTAGGGGTGGGGGAGGCCCTGGAGAGGTCGTGGGCACCTGCTTTCTCGGCTGTCTGTAGGGGTGGCTCGGGGAGGAGCTCCACGTGGACCCGTGTCGCCGAGCGGCTGGGCTGCGGGCGGCCGTAGACCCGGGGATGGCGCGGGCTACGTGGAGATGCTTCGTTGAGATGCACGCGCGCGCGGGTCACGGGCGTGCCCCTCGGGTGTCCGGCGGCCTGGGGAGCACCGCCAGGGTTGGCCCAACACGCTCCGGCTCCTGTAGATCGCGTAGATCGCTTCCCCCGGAAACGACTGGAGCAAATGGCATTCATCGCCTCCCGGCCACCGCAGCCCCTCCCCCGTCGCTTTGCACAGCAAGGCTTCCCTGCCCCTCGCTGGGCTGCAGACCGTCTTCTCCTTGGATTGCAGGCCTCTGCCCCCGCTGGCTGGAGCTTATTAGCATCCAGTTCCAGCCCAGGCCATGCTGGTTCTCGGGCCGCGGGGCCCAGAGAGGCCCAGTCCCAGGCTTGGAGGGCAAACGTCCTGCTAATTTCTGGATCCCCCCGCTGCCCTTGAAGCTAACCACTGAGGTCTGACGAAGGGTAACTTGGAGGGAACAGCTCGCTTTCCTCCCTGTCACTAAAGGAGCGCCTCGGTTCCTTTCCAAGCGCGTTTATCGGAAGTTGTCACCACAAACTGTCCCCTCCACGAGCGCGCGCCCCCCGGGCTGTGGGGGCCTCTCTGTGCCTCGCCCCCCCCCCCCCCCCCCGACTCCCCGGGCAGCGGAAATCCAGGTGGTGCCACGGGCCCTTCGGGGTGCCTGCCGGAGGTACCCTGCCGCCTCCACAGGTGTTTCTGCTGCGGGACTGGGGTTACACCTGCTGGTCACCCTGAGCCGGGCCAGCCAGCTTCTCCCAGGAATCTGGGGAGAGAATCTGGGGAGGGTAGACGCCTACTCTCTCCTCTTGCTCCTTGTAGGAAGCAGACGATACCTGGGGTCTGCCCGGCCCGTGCACAGCACGGCCGCAGAGAGAGAGGCAGGCACAGGCCACCTCGGGCACTCAGCGGGCACGGCCTGCCTCCTGTGTGCCTGGCACCGGGGATGGAGCAGAGGAGGGAGGAGGTCGGCATGTCTGCCCTCGGGAAGCTTCTATTTTGCAAAGGTGAAGAGAGAGAAGAGAAAAAGAGAGACCATCTGATTTCCGACGGTTCCTGACTCCCATCTCTGCCCTCGGGTCCCACGTCTTCCCAGCATGCTCCCCTTCTTTCGCGTCAGGGGTCAGACCAGGTTCTGTGGCCCAGTGGTGCGGTTAGGAGCAGACTAGCTGTGCGCCCAGGAGGCGGGGGAGGCAGGAGAGGCTCCGAGGCCAGGACTCACGGCAATATCCTTGGGGGAGGTGAAGGTGACCCGGAATCTGGGCTGTGAGGCACAGGTGAGGATTCAGAGGCACAGGAAAAGTGACGTGTTAGCTGGTCGTGGAACATGCTTCCATTTTTAAAAATAGAAAAAATAACTGTATTTGTATCATTGCAGTGTTACCTGTAAGATCCCCAAACGGTGTCACATAGGACGCGGAACTCCTATCCTTGCCACAATAAAACCCTTGAGTGCCATTCACTAGAGATGAGTAGAGGCAGAAGTTTGGGGTGGATAGATGGATGGACGGACGGATGGACGGACGGACAGACAAGCGGCGGGGGGGGGGGGGGGGGGCAGATGGATAGATAGGTGGGTATGAGCACCAACGAGATTGTATTGTATTTACTGCCCTGTAAGCTCCGTTTAAAACAAAAATGTGGTAAGAACACTAAGCCTGATGAGATCTACCCTCTTAGGAAAATTTTCAGTGCACAATACAGTGTAGGTAGCTGTAGGCACGATGCTGTATGGCAGCTCTCCAGAACTTTCTTACTGCGTAGCTGAAACTTCACACCGGTGAACAGTAATGCCCCACTGCCCCTTCCCCAGCCCCGCCCCTGCCATTCTGTTTCGAGAGGTTTGACCGGTTCAGGGAGCTCCTGTAAAGGAGATCATGCGGTCGTCTGTCCTTCCGCAACTGGCCATTTCTCTTCGCCCAGGGCCCTGCCATGTTGTCGCGTCCGGTGCCTTGCTTTAGCAAAACAGCTCCTGGTTTTTTTCGCCAGTAAAGCTCTGACCTGCTGGTTTCGTCGGTCATTCCTTCCCCCGAGGGCAAGTGGGTCCAGCTCAGGTTTCACCGCTGCCGGGTCACTTCCATTTAACTGCAAACTGGGTTTCGGTGAGGCCCCAGGCGGTAAAGTCCGGTTTTTCCTATCAAGCTCCTATTTCCTGTGCAAATCTTTTCCAGCCGATACTGGGCCCGGAGGCCAGAACGAGGACACGGCAGGTAACTTCCATGTCACCAGCCAGTGACGCACCAGCCCAGGCAGGACACTCCACTGGTCTCCAGGTACAGAGGCGGGACCCCACGTGCGGACCCGTTCACGGGCCCAGGCAGGAGGTACCGGGGCCACTGCACCTGCTGCTTCGCGTTCATGGGGAGGCCGCACCTGCAGATAGGCGGGCATGAGGACCTCATCTGCAGCGACAACTTTATGCTGTCTACAAGGCCACTAGACGGCAGAAATTCTGTCATCACAGGCAGTGGGGGGCGGAGGCGCGAAAATGAATCTTCCAGCCACTAAAAAAGCAACTTTATTGAGATAGAGTTCACATACCTTAGAATTCATCCACTCAAAGCGGATAACTGGTCTTTGATATATTCACACAGTCATGCAACCATTCCCCTTGTTTTAGAACGTTTTGTCCCCAAGAAACCCTGTGCCCATGAGCGGTCACCCCCTTCCCCCACACCCAGCCCCTGGCAACCACTAGGGTCCTTTGTGTCTCTCTCTGCATGTGTCTGTTTTGGACATCTACAAATGGAATCCCACAGCGCGTAGGCTTTTGTGTCTGGCTTCCTTTGCTCAGCATATTTTCAAGGTGCAGCCGTGGCGTAGCGGGGGTCAGCTACTCAAGTTGAGCGTCTTCTCGTGTGCTTACTGGCCATCTCTAGACCTTATTTTGAGAAACGTCTGTTCAGGTCCTTTGCCCGTTTAAAAACTGAGTCGTCTTTTTATTACTGAGTTAGGAGTTCGTCATATATC